TATTTTCGAGCCAATTCGAGCTGAACACAAGCGAACAAACTTATATTCGTGTTCGGTTCTTTATTTTCGAGCCAATTCGAGCTGAACACAAGCGAAGCGAACAAACTTATGTTCGTGTTCGGTTCGTTTACAATTCGAGCTTAAAAAATTGTTCGTGTTCAGCTTAACGAATGAGCCGAATACGAGCTAATTAACGAGGCTAACACGAGCTGTTCGCGAACAACAGGTCAGATTGACAGCCCTATACAAATAAAATGACAATAACATCTGAATTCTACAAAATAGCATAGTTACCGGTCCTGATGTAATATTTTTCCACCACCGGTCGCGAGTGTTTCGTCAATAGGGCAGCTTCACCGTCGTCAGCAGAACAATGGCTGCTTCCGCCGTGGCAGATTTGCAGGAGGAAAGGGTCACTAGTATCTACCGTGTAGCGAGGTGCATAAAGAGGAAACAGAATTCCCTTTACAATGCCCTCCGTTCAATCTACGAGGACTCTATCTTCGTGGCTGAGATCGCTGGCCTTTGGCCGGATCTTCCCTTAGTGGCTAACCTCCGTTGTGGACTCTGGTACTCTCCGCGCTTTGAGGCCACTTGCTACTTCAAGTCCACCGACGGCCACGCCAATAACTGGTCTTTCAGCACATCGCGCCTTAACCTTCACCTAGCTCTTCTCGCTGGTACATCACCGACGCCATTTCGGTTAGGTTTTATTGAATTATGTTGCATGGAGGATAGGGTTTAGGTGAATATAGCCAACAGGTGGCTTCTTTTGAGTTCTTCTTTGTTGTGGATAGGGCAGAGAGGTGGATGCATTTTAGTGGATTCTACACGCAAAGGGAAGCGCTTCCCTGACAGCATGTCGAAGACGATACCGATATGGACATGTGTGTTGAATCGAGCAATAGAGCGGTGGTTTAGGAGAATGTCAGGACAGATTCAGGCAGATGATCAACAGGTGTGTCAATGTTTTTTCAAAGAAAAAAAAAAGGCGTGTCAATGGTTTTTATTGGGATTTTTCTTTGTTTTCGTGTGTCCGATGCTCTTTTCCAATTCATCGCTGATAGTGGATGTGCCCGTTCTGTGTTTAGGGATTTTGCATGGATAAAACTACATATTATTGTCGTATAGTATTTATTGGGATTGGGATTTCTTGCAGTTCATGCATTTGATATTTATTTCTGCCTGTTTTCCGTTACTGATAACTCATTGGGCAGATTTAAGGCTTTTTTGATTGGGCTTCTTTAGGAGTTGGAGAAGCTATTATCACATAGCTAGTTTATGGAGCAATTTCAAAACTCCATTCCAAAGTAGGGTTTTTTATACAGTTTTCTTGAAAAGCAGTTATCTTTTATTTCCTTACAAGAAGCACTTGCGTTGCAAAGACTTTTTGTTAAGTCTGGAAGGCGGCACACCTCAACAACATAGGACATAATAGAAATGGATTGAACATATTTTTTATTTTCAAAAAGAAGCATTGTATGCAAGTAATGTATCTCCTCTTGATTGTGATCTTATAAAATTATGTAGCGTGCAACAAATAATAACAATATAACGTTGTGTGTGTGAACCATAGGGAGACATTCTATTAGGGATTGAAAATCTTGCTTTTAGAACTCCAAAATATCCCTAAATAACTTTTCTTAAACAAGAATGCCTATAATTAAAGAGTTCTTCTTATTTTTGAGGTTGAGCGCCCTCTTGGTAATCACGCAAATGATATATTGTTGATCTGTATGGTGTTAAGAATTTCAAAATATCAGCATATCCTGAATCAACGAGATAATATTTTCCAATTTTCAAAAAACACATATATATACATATTTTACTATAAATATCATTTAATATCTACATAATGTGATAAGAATAAAATTGACATACCTTGAGGTGGCATCATAAATTTTAATTGAGGATTTAAAATACATTCTAGAAATATTCTCACATCATTTGTTATTCCCTCCCAACCCAACATTACTTACATAAACATCATGTTAAATCTACACACATACATAACATTTTGGGTTAGCTATTTATGCTTTTATCGATACAGATTTTGATTTTTTTGTGGTACATTTGCAGGAACATGTTTTCCATCAATCGCTCCTATACAATCATATTCATAAGAATCACATAAATCTATAATCATAACTAAAATAAATAAATACATTTACTTTCTAAAATTTAATATACCTTAAAAGAAAGATAATACTTTGAATTATACTGGATCTCAGGAGGAATCATCTCAAATGATAATGGAATAATAATCCTAATTCCCAAGTGACAAATTGTTTTGAAAGTCTCGCTGAAATGTTGTGAGATTATCTCCAATAAATGCTGAAATTTTTCAACAACCACTCTAAGACGTTCATTATGCGATAAAATCAACAGAAAAATTGCAAGTTGTTCCTCTACAACAAGCCATTTTGAATCCTTCATAAGACTTTTACGCTTCAACAAGGTAGATAAATTAATAAACACTTGAGGTTCCATTCTATAATTTTCAAAGTAGTGAGCTAGATGTCCTCGCAGTATTTCAATTACATACTCGTGACATGGAATAGCAGAAGTTTGACATGGTTCTTTTGCTCAATAATGTTTATCATAATCATCAACACAAGTAAGAGCGATTGCTAGCTCAAGTTCTTCTTCAACATCACTTTTGAAATCTTATATTAGTTCCATATAATTTTTACCTACAATACGAATTGATAAACAATGTAGATCAAATAAAATAAAATTTTGAGAAACAAACTTCGTACAATAAATCTCGAAATAGAAAATCACAATACTCTTTTTCGTTTCCAAAATAAAAAAGTAGATCTCTTGTAGAACAATTCATATGAATATTAGCAATGCACCAACTCATTCATCACAAGCTTTGAATTCATAAACATGCATCATAATCATAACCCAAGCTGTTAAAATGTTCGACAACAATAACGAAAATGAAAAGAAGCAAACATGACACATTTAAAACACAAACACATAAGATAAGGAGAGTTCATAGGTTTCATCGTGATGAGCAAGTCATTTTAGATTAATAATCCAGTCTTTGCTTCTACAGGCTTTTGAAGAAACATCTTCATCTATATTGCATCCTCTTGGAACTTATGTAAAGCTTTCAAGTAATTGATGTCATCTAGGCCCTCTATTAAGTTTAGAAGCTACATTCAACCGAAAAAAATTCAGAGCTCTCGTTAGAAGACCAAGTTGTGGTACATAATTTCTTTTCAGTCATATCCACCATTCTTTTTGAAGACTCACTTAAAACTTGAAGTGTAGAGGCAATTATATCTGAAATTGTTGGCTTTTTTTGCACGTTGAACCAATAATTTTCTTATATACTACTCATCCACAGATTTTGTTTCAGTTTCTACGATCTCATTTTCTTCCTTAGTGACTATAGGGATTATGGTGGAATGATGTTACAAATATCCCGTTGCAGTTGTGTCTATGACAGAGAAACTCGTACATTGGACATCTTTTTTTTGAAATATTTTTACACTTTTATTGTCCTATATATTGGTAAATGAATACTGTGATTAACAAAAATATGTGAATAATAAAATATAAAATTTGGATTAAATATAATATGAAATAAATAACTTATATAATTTGGTCGATACATCTTCAGATGCAATCACTTGACCTGTGGTTGCATTATAACCAATTCAGTCTCTTTTAATAAACTAGAAAGTTCTCTCCAACGAGCTCTAAGCATATTGAACTTATTTTTTAGTTGTTCTTGCTTGTATTTACTTTTTGTAGATGATTCAAGTCCCCGCATAATGCATGTCCATGGAAAATACTGAAAGTTGTTGTTTGTCTATTCCCATAATGACTTCAATCTCCATTACTGAATGAAGAATTGTTCATTTCTATCTGATCATACTGCCTCTCCAGTAATTCAATTACATCACTGTTATGTATGATTCAACTTGAAAAATGACAAAGAAATGTCAATTTATATGTATATAACATCTTCAACCATCCAACTTAGAATTCTACTAATAACATCCCCATCTAGATGTTAAACATGTTTACCCAATTTTTACCTATAGGATTCTGATTATATCATGACATAGAATATGAGATCATTAATCCATAGACCAAATCATTTATTTGTTAAAAACTTGAAAAAATATCTTGAAGTGAATAAGGATCAAAGTTGATTAACTTGTCCTACAATGCAATGATCAAGTATATGCTCGGCCCCAATAGATAAATACTTATGAATGGCAATGCGTTTTTTTTATCCAATTGCGCATTAAATCCATTAGTCTTACAAGTTTTTTCCTATTTAGCATATTATGAGAAAAGGAAATATATTTTTGTTTTCGTGATGTATATAAGTATAAGAAATTAGTGTGTTTAGAAAAGCATATATGGTATAAGTGGAAGAGTGAAACTTACCAAGTTCAATACACCAAGGGGTTATGTTTTCAGCTAACACTGAAGATCTGACAGCGAGACCAACAATTGAAGCATTCAAACCTTGAGATACTACACTGCTTACCACCTCACAAATGAAAGTCTATGATTGCAATCAATCCAAACTCTAAACCCTAAACAAATATAAAATAGAAGCAAACTTGTGAATAATTCAACTTGAGACCTTTATAACTCTTCTTTCATGAAATTTATTTAAATGAAAAGTGCTTAAATATATGTAGCAAAGGAGAATTGAAAAGTTTAATATACTTAAAACTTGTTGTACATATTCATGTGGTTTAATATAGCCCAGATAAAAGATAAATTCATTTGTTTCTTAATCTACTAGTATTTATCCCCAAAGTTGTCAAAACTAAAAGATTGATTCTTGAACATATACTATTAAAAATTAGGGTATTTGAATCAAAGAGGGATAAAATTAGGGCAAAAATGGTCAAACATATTTCCAATTAAGAAGTTTAAGCATTCAAGTGAGAGACAATCACTACTCATATTTATAACAATCTGAAGTAAGAGCAAACCCAATATTCTTATTTCTTATGAAAACTCTACCCCCCAAGAGGGCTTTCCTCATGAGCCATTGCTACCCTCAATCAAAAATTCTAAAAGAACATCAAATATCATACACTTTGAACCCACACATTCAGTGCTGCATATGAATCACTAGCTCTTGAACTTTACTCAATAATAATAAAAACCACATAATCCATGGGAGCCATAAATCACACAACCTACCCCATCTCAATTAAAGCCTCAACTATGATACCACTTCACATGGAATAATGTCCACTATTCTCATCCATTATGAAGTTAGCTACATAAGTTGTGACCGAAAACTAGCAAAAAAAAAAAAACGAACCTGATTCCTCAGCTGAAAAGAGGAGACAGGGCAGGCGAAGGCCAAAGGAGAAGGGTGCGGCATTGGCGAGCGAAGACCGAAAGAGAGCACAGTGTTGTCGAGCACGGTGACAGTGAGCGCGATTGAAGGAGAGCTTCGGTGATGAACATCAAAGGGAAGGGGGGCATTACGACTCGCGAGGGAGATGGGGTAGGGTGGAGAAGTTGGTTCACGTGTTTTTAATACAATAGATAACACATTTTGCTGTTTTTAGAATTTTAAAAATAGTACTGTACAAGAAGAAAATAAAAAATGGAAATAAAATAGATAAAATAGATAGTACTGCACAAGTAGAAAATAAAAAATGGAAATACAATAGAAATTATATAGCCAAATACTATTTCTTTGTTTATTTCCTATTAAAACAAAAAAATAAGAAGCAAAAATTGATCCCAAATAACCTCTAAATGGATGAAGATTGTTGAGATCCTCAAGCCATCTACCCTGAACAACTTCAACTAAAGACTGAGGTGCATTGCCTGCAAGAAAGACAACAATTTAAGATGCTTTAACGATAAGAGGTACTCAAGCAAAACAATTGCCAATAGAACTTAGGATTAATTGACAGAAAGATGACACGGATATTGAGGAATATTTTGGTGCCAGGG